TGATGCTATGAAATTTTTTAATGAAATGTTTTCCATTCTTAGCACACAGAGGCGCAAATTCTTCAGTTATCCCCGGGTGCTGGAAACTCTAGCTAAGGTGTACTTAACTAGTTCAGATTGCTCTTCATCAGAGTCATTGTCTGTATCATGTTTACTTGTTTCATTAATATCATGTTTCTTTTATAATGTCATTTACCAGTTCTTTTGTGAAAAATAATTTGAAATATTGTGTCGGATGTACAATATATGTAAAATTTGCTATCCAATGACCTTTGGCGATACACTAAAATGTATTCTATCCGGATTATCTAATTTTTCCTTGACATCGCGCCATTCATATAAGTCTTTCGGGAACTCTTCGCTTTCACTTTCAATAACTACTATTCGTCGTCTCTTTGGTAGTATAATTTCGGAACCACTACTTGAAGTGTCAGAATTATAATCAACATTGTCTTCCACAATATCTTCTAACAATGAAAAATCAAACACATCTTCACTATCACCCAACTCTATATTCTCATCAAAATAATTATTTTTCTCCATGTTGCTAACTAAAAATGGGTCAAATAATGTTTCAATCGTAACAGTAGCGAGACTGAGCACGTTTCAACTTTTCACGTTACTTTAACAGTAGCGAGACTGAGCACGTTCACAGATAACAATTGCCAATGCCGACGATTCCGTAACATCTTAAGCCTAATCATGCTAAAAACATTGGGCTCCGCAGTAACTATGGAGCCTACGGAGTTACAGAACAAATGATGGACGGCTCCGTAGTGGAGCCAACGGTGTGCTTTTTAAGGGTTAAGCTCTCATGCCAGACGCGGTCAAATGCTTTGGCTACGTCCAGCATGAGCACTGCAGTACAACTCTTATGATGCAGAGCAGAGCCATGACCTTCGAGAGGGAAAAGGCCATTACACTTTATAAGCATAGCGGAGCTTTCCATCTGATGTTATCGTCGGAAAGTCATCTGGATTTTTAAATTTTCATCAGAAATATAACTTTATCATGTTGCTTAGTTAATTGAAATAGCTGAAGGAAAGGAGGCTTTATATACATTATTTTCACTTTTTAGGCTTTTTTACAGATTTTAATTTTGTGCATAAATATAATTGAGAAAACCAAAGAACAAACAAACATTTTACAAAAATTTAAATGCTGATTGAAAATTGCCACTGTCATGATAAATTGGAAAGGGGCTCTTAAGATAATAATTAATATTTTACCTAGGCTCAAGTATTAATTTATTTGTGTTTCAGAGCAAAATATATAACCATCAATTTCTATATCTCCAATGTATGTAACTGAAATACTATATCAATTAGCTAATAAATGTGATAAAAAGTATTTTATACAAGAAACATACCTAAATCTTATAACAAAAAAGCCTTTCAGCATTCATATTTGAAATGAGATAACCTAACAAACAACATACACAACTGGCAATATTTAAAAAAAACACATAAACTATGCAGTGTTTGAAAGTTACCAGAAAAAAGTAACAGAACTACTATTTCCAATTAATAAAAAATCATTTAGTGTTTTTTAAATAGCAAGCTGTTAAAAGTACAATAAGTAATAGCAATGCTGATGATTTTTAACATCATTTCTTTTGATCATATGTAAATATATATATATACTACTTGTTTTAGACAATGACAGATTCCCACGGCCATTTAATTCATTTTTTCAAATCAATAACTTTCCTTTGGATACTTTCCCTTGGATACTACACAGAAATCATTATAATAACAGTAAGAACTGCACATTTAAATCTGCTCTTCATTAAATAGTACACAACAAAAAGTTTTTTCCCATTTATCATGAATTTGATTACTATCACAAGCATGTACAATAATTAACAATGAAAATGGAATGTATTCAAATGTAATAATTATAAAACATAACTTGCAACATTCGTATTCATACCAAGAGCCATGACCAAAATTCCAAGAGAAAAATAACAGAACTGCAATTTGCACGTAATGTAAAATTTAATGTTTTTAAAATATTATATGATTAAAAATGCAATAATTATGGATTACAATATTTAGTAGTAATGCTGATGTTTCTTAACACCATTTCTTTCAATCATATGCAGGTGCATATACATATTTTAGCTTTTAAATATTAGGATAATAGGAATTACGATTATCATTTATATGCTTTTTAAAATCAGTAACCTTTCTTTGAATATTACATAGAAGAGTTTTCAATAATATACACAATAACTTACTACGTGCATTAAAATCTGCTCTTCATTAAACAGCATGTCAAAAAAAAATTTTTTTTTTAAATTTATTGCTGCCTTATTATCGCATATATCAAATTAAGCAACAAAGCTTAAGTTATACTTAAATATAATAACAAAATCATATAATTGTTGATGATCTAATGTGCCAGTTGGACAAAATTTGGCACGATATTCCCCAGGAGGACATCCGCAACCTCTATCAATTGATGCCAAGCCGAATAACTGCTTGCATAAGGGCCAGAGGTGGACAAACGCATTACTGACTTTTTCACTTTGTGAAGCTCTATCATTTCAATAAATCATCCAATTTTTCTCAAACAGTAATCGTTTGTTTTTCTGTACATGTACATCACTTCTACCGATTTTCGTTCCATTCGGATAACTCCTTCTTGGTGCATCGTGTTTTTTGTCTAAGAGTGTGTATATATATATACACACATACACACAGGTATATGTGTTTAAATGCATCATAAAATGTATTTAAACTTGTAAGGCGGCATATTGAAAGGAAGACTCCAAGTACAAAGTAGTTGTGGGCCTCTCGAAATTATAATCAAGGAAATTCTTTTTACTCAAGGCTTATTTGAGAACTTGAAGTTATAAGGACTAAACTTTTGGTCTATTAGTGGTTTAACAGCTGAGTTATTTAAAAGCAGTAAAAGTTTTCTTGATAACTTAAATTTTAATTTTTCAACCCTCCAAGCATTTAATGTTTTGCTCTAACTCTGAAGTTCTCCAAAATGCCATGAATAAGTGTTATTTTCTGGATAATAATTCCAAAATTACCCCTCTCACTTTAGATCTTGATTACTTTTCTTGCAATATACATCCAACCTGAAATCAGATAGTTTAGGAATGGGCAGAATTTGTTAAGTGTAGCAAATTGAAAAACTATCCTTCTATGTGGAAATTTATGGAGGGTTAACAATTTATCTACTTATGTAATTTAAAATGAATTTAATTTATATTTGATTCTTAATTTTAAACATTTGCAGTATCATTGCCATTAACAGAATGTTTCTCATGCTTTTCCATATTATGTAGCTTAGCACAAAATGATTTAGTTTGAATATATATATATATGTGATTAAAAGTCAAAAGATTATATACTCATCATAAATTTTATACTTTTAATTAACACTATAAAAAGGTATATCTCATTAAAATCTGCATGGTTTAATATTGTTGCCAGGGAGGAAATTTTTTATTAATTGTATTGTGGGGGATATTTGGCTAGATTATTTTTATTCTCTAAATAGAATAGCAGTTTCATACTATTTATATATATTCATAACAGTTTCTCTTACATTTTTATATTATGTAGTTTAGCACAAAATCACTTAGTTTGAATATATATATATGAATGATTCAAAATCAAAATATATTCTGATCATAAATTTTATTCTATTAATTAACTCATTAAAAAGGTATATCTCATTAAGATCTGCATGGTTTGATATTGTAGTCACATAGAAAATTTGTTATTAATTATACTGTGTGGGATATTTGGCTAGGTTCTTTTAATCCTCCAAATACAATAGCAGTTTTATATTATTCATATATAATGGTTCATTAAATCAATTATGATTCCTTAGATCGCACTTCATTCTTTGGACAACCATGACAATTCTCGAGCTAGCACATGCAGTAGAGCTTCAACCCTTTTCGACAGATTTTTATTAGACCAAAAACAATCAGACCTCATGTCTGTATTATGGGGTGACTGTGTAACACTTTGAGCTAATGACATGGGCTAGTCCAGGCAATGTATCTTTCAAGTGTCTGCCTTATCAACTGTTGATGGTAGATTATGTACTTACCGTGATTGTAATGGGTGATGGAGAATCAGGGCTCTTAGTTATATTTATTTTTAACAGTAAAATTTAATACTAATGTAAAATTCATTACACATTTGTGCAGATTTTTTTTAATGATAATGAAAGTAGCTTTCTTTGAATTAAATTGTCACGAAAATATTCATGTCTGTTTTTAATATGACTTCAAATTTTAGTTTATTAAGTTTGGAATTGTTTTATGTTTATTAATTTACAATGCAATTATAATAGTTTTGCTTAATTTGATTGAATCAAGGTTTATAGAATGAGGCTTCTGTTAGATATATGATGCAAGAGTGCAAGAGTCATAAGATTTTTTCATTAAAAATTCTATATTATTAAATAAATCTCTAAAAAGCTATTTTCCAATAAATATGTATATGATCTGAAATTGCTCTCAGAAGATATTTTATAAAAATTTAATTTTACTTTGTGATATGCTTTTCTGCTTTCATAATTTTGCTGGAGCTGTGGATGGCCTAATCATGTCATAGATTTATTACATGGCCATGTAGACAGGGTCTGTCTTCTTAACTAGCATGCTTTTCATTTTGTAAATGAAATAATAATTTTATGTTGGTCTGGCATAAATTGTGCTGATTGTAATTTTTGAAATATTAAGTTGATAATTTTAGTATTGAAAAAACTTTTTTATAAGCATAGACAAATAACATTTGTGTAATGCTGAAGGTAGTATGCATATTGTTTTCCATTGTTTAAATTTCAAAAAAGGTGCATTTGAATTTTTTTAAGCTTTGTGTATATTATTGAGTAATATTTGTTATTGAAATGGAAAATGTATTATGTAAAATTTTTGTGTTGTTGTACATATATTTTTCAAGGCTGTTTGTTTACATTATTAATGTAAATTATTTCCAGTATATTTAAATTTTTAAAAAATGTTTCAGAAACATACAAAGAATTTAAAAAAGAGCTACATGATGTGTTTTCTGTTGTGTATGATACTAGGCATATATGGAGACACGTAAAGAAGGTCAGTTTCATATTTTTGAAATAATTGACAGAATAAATGATTTTTATGCATATTGGTTAGATTTAAAAATGATATGATGTCTGGCATTTAAATACATTGTTTGCATGGTTTTTGAAAAATTCTTGAAAAATGGGAGACTGTTTTCAAAACCCACAAAATGTAGTTGATTTTTTAATTGCATAGGGGTTAGGGGTGTTAATATATTGTACAGTTACAAACGTAAAAATTTTACTTTCCTTAAAACTATAGTATTGATAGCCTGCGAGATATATGCCTTGTCAGTAGATTAATATATATTTTGTATGTTTAATGTTATTATCTTACAATTAAGTAAGCTATATAGAGAATTTTAAGAGAGGAAATTATGCAAAAGAGGAAAGAAATCTGTGACAGTGTACTGTATTCACTGTTATCAAAATCTATTATTTTTATGTAATTAAGTAATATCAAAAGGAATCATTTATCTGCCAGTGCCTTATACTGGTATTGTCTTTACAGGATACAGAAAACTGTAGATGTTATTTACTAGGAAAAAAAATAACAATATGAAAAGATTATTTTCGTATTGTTATATGTGCATAAAGATAATGCTTTAATAAGAAAGCAACAGGGATACAGTGGCTGTATAATACTCTAAATACAGTTGATATGATTATTTTGTGATGGTGTTTGTGATGATTTACTAATGATTATTCTCCATAATAGCTAGATATATGCAGTTCATATGATTGTTTCATGATGGCAATTGAATAATCACAGTCATTATAAGGAAATTAGTTCAAGTATAATCAAAATAATCCAGTCCACAAAATATCATGAAATTTTATGGCATATATTATAGCATTTATTTTTATAAAAGAGTCTTAAAGCATTATTATAAACTACTACGCTATATACCAAGGGTTCTCAACCTTTTTTGCACCATGGACCCCTTTCATCATTGCTAGATATCATCCCCTCCCCCGTTCCAAAACTCTAAAAATACATAAAAATTTAGATTATTTTTTAAATGTGTTTTATAAATTAAACAAGAAAAACTATAATAAATAAGTTAATAAATACCGAAACTTAAATAAAAGTAGTTTTTGTATAGTCATATAATGAAACTAAATACTTAACAAGCAAATAAAAGGTTGATCACATTCCTAATTGAAATTATGAATTTCCCTCCCGGGGAAGTTCCCCAGTTTAGAACCCATTCAACAGAAAGCATTTCAACTCTTTCCTCGTAACTTTTTACTTCTTGGAGGCAATTTTGGCTTCTTGGAGCTTGTCAACAAGGAGAGGTAGTTCAAGTCAAACTTCTGATGTTATTTAAGGTTGTTGTATTATTTTAAATGTGATGATGAATAACTGCAAATGTTTCATCGCACTGCTCTATATATTAGTCTGATGAACTCTTCAAGTTACCATTATATGCTTTTTCAAACAATGCTCACATCAAAGTTTATTGCTTTATTGGCAGCAGAAGATGTCTGCTGATTATTTCAGGTGCACATCTTGTACTACAATTAATATTATGTAGATGGGATTTATTTGTTTGCATTATGCCATTACGAATGGCATTATATGAGAACTGCAAACATTTGTGTGCAAACATGTTTGAAAATTTTAACTTTTTATCTGGCATTTATGTTAAATTTAAGGTAACAAAGATGAAATAGAAACTATAAGGATGGATGAAATGAAAACGGAACAGTAGCTACAAAATGAAAAGGTATTATTTATTTTCAAATGTAATCACCAAAATTACACCAGCACTTGTCCCATTGTTGTGCCAAATGGTGAATATCTCATTTGTAGAAAGAGTTTGGCTGACATCAAAGCTAGTTCCAAACTGTGTTCATGATTTTGTTGTCCATGTGAAAATGTCGTCTCCGCAATGCCTTTTTTAGTGGACCAAAGATGTGAAAGTCAAATGGAGAAAGGTTGGGGCTGTATGGTGGGTGCCATTGAAACCACACAAGCATGTTCAGTGTGTGAGTGGCCATATGTGGCCACACATTGTCGTGGATCAAAAGCATTCCGGAGGACAACATGCCTGGCTGCTTTGGCTTTGATTGCTGCATGCAAATGTTACAGGGTGTTGCAGTACTGAGTAGCATTGATTGTTTGACTTTGGGCCAGGAACTTAATGAGAAGCAGGCCTTTCATATCAAAAAATAAATGTCAGCATGATTTTGCCCTTACTGTGCATCATCCTGGATTTCTTCGGTGGTGGGGAGCTAGTATGTTCCCTTTGTTGACTTTGTCATTTACATTGATGAGCTGGTCAGCTTCATTCACCAAAGCATCTATGATGATAAGGTCATTTTGACCAGGTCACAGATTATCTTTCAAAGACTCCTGTCCCTCGTGGAAATGCTTGTGCCAGTCCTGCACACAAGTCAATGAGAGTGAGTTTTCTCTGTACACTGTTTTCATTCATCAATGCACTTCATGAACTCCAACACCTTCTGCTGCTAAAACAAATAACATCACATTGCTCTTCTTTAGTCACAAACATTATGCAGACATGGATGAAATGACAAATAATTCCCTGCCGGATAACACTGTTGGCTGACCACCTCCAGATATCACATGGTTCTGTGTGATTACCTAGGGCACAGAGCAGTCCTACCTAGGTCAAGTCCATTCCACAATAGGGGGTTGTCTTTCATAGCTCCTGCACTTTCTTTACATGCAGTTTTTATAACAGTTATGCAAAAATATGAAATTATGACCACTGTTCCCTTTTCATTTGATCTACATTCGACCAGGAAAGTCATGGACACAGTTTAAAACTGGTTTCAATCTCAGTCAAACTCTTTCTACAAACGAGATATTCACCACTTGGTGCAACAGTAGGACAAGTGCTTATGTAATTTTAGTCCTTACATTTGAAAATAAATACTTTTTCATTTTGTGGCTCCATTTTCATTTGATTGACCCTTATATTATCTGCATACATTTTATGCATTCATAATATACCTACCTTTTCCTAATATCAGGTAATAAAGTTTTTTGATATTTTTAGATTATGTAGTTTGTCTGTGAATTTTTTTCAAATTGTTGTAAATCTCCAAAAATTTTCGAATATATTTGTTGAAATAATTTTTGTATAAATAGATCCTTGCTATTTTTACCTTAGTATTTCAAAAGTAGAATGTACTTAAAAACATCATAAATTTTAAAAATCCTTAATGTTCTGCTTCATATAAAATTTATCTTATCAAGAAAATGAACAAGGTCTCTCTTTTTTCCCTTGCATTTGCAAAGGAAAGTAGACAAAAAGTGATTATATCTCTGCACTAGTGTTGGGATTAGGAAGGGTATTATATTAACTGATAATGTCCTTTTGTATTCTATATTTGTCCAAAATATAGAATATTAAAAAAAACATATCAGGTAATCTGCTTGAAAACGGAGGATAATCAAGAGCATGTGATAAGACATGAATGTTTCAACACTTTTTGACTTAATTATTATTGAACTAAATTATTGATTATTGAACTAAATTTTTAGCAAGAGATCATAGAAGGTTCTTTTCTGGGGTAATTTATGTATCATAAATAATATTCATACTTTTCAAATGAATGTATGCAAATCATTCTACTTCTTCTTACACCTTTTTTAAAGAAAATATTGAAGTGAGGTTGAATTTTATCATGCTGTATTTCTTTCTACTCTTGTATGTGGAGATCTGGTTTTGAATTATGTATCGCAAATTTAGATTACCTTTTTAAATTAAGGTAAAAACTTGCCTCAATAGGTAAAAAAAAAAAAAAATTTTTTTTTGCTTAAATTTAAATTTCAAATTGGTATGTTTTCCCTCTATATAGTAGATTACTTTTGTTAATTCCCTATGTTTTGTGATAAACTCAAAGAACTGTGTTCCTTAGCAATGAAGAACTAACACCATGAAGTATAATTTAAAACAAAATTGAAATATACTTTATAACTTTTTGGGACTGCCATTCATCAGTGTTATTAATTCTCTTTTCTTTTATTAGTTTTTATTTGCATGAAATGCGAAGGATGCGAGATATTTGTTGTCTTTATTAAACATTTGGGGAATGTTTAAATAGTATTGCTTGTAAAATGTTTCAGACATTTTTTTTTACTCTGTTTTTACTCTGATTAAAATTTGAGGTACGTGAATGGCTTGTGGACTAAATGTGGGCATTACATTTGAGTGCAGATAAGCAACAGATACCCAGATGAACTTTAATTTTTTATATATTATTAAAATTATTATCTTTTTTATTAATATTTTGGGAACGAAAGAGTAGCATTGTCAGCAGAGAAAGAAAAATTGTTGAAAATTAATTAATTTCCCTAAGGCTGAAATGGTTGAATGCAAATAAAATATTTGATATTATTCCCAGATGAAGCTATCATATTGATGCAGGTGTTTTGATGTGAAAATAAAAAGTCCATTTTTTACTTTCTTTTCAGCATCTTGTTAATTACCTTTTAAAAGAAAAATGTGAACTGGATTTTAGTAAAGTTAAGGTCTTTGTTTTCATCAACGAATTGATTTGATCTCATTACTTTCTCTTATATTTCATAGTTTTTATCCCGGGCAAATTGAAGAATTAAATGATTATTCTAAGTAATTTTATTATTGTAATGGCTTTTTAAGTGATTATATTTGTGGCAAAGAAATAAAGCAAACCCATGTAAGAAATGCTGTTACTGTACTATTACTAGCTTTGATATCATATTATAGTCAAAATTCTTTCTTGTTTAGAAAGCCATTCGGTATTACCCAGCTCAATATGAATGGGATTTTCCAAGCTTAGAAACATAAGAATTAAATTCTGTTCTATTGTCAGAAAAATTCAGGCTTGTTCAAAGGTGATCCTGGGTTTGTTTAGATATTGATCAAGTACAGAAGTGAATCTTCTGGTCTAACTCAAACATGACAGAGATAATCAGATGCTGTTAAAAGTATAAAAATTGTTAAGAATATAAAAAGTATAAAAACAAATTGTGTCTTATAAGATTCAACAATTGCTTTTAATATGGTTTGGAAGATTATAATAAAAGTCAGAAAAAAAGATCTGTTATTTTTCACAGAAGAATAATCATATGGATAGCATAAGAAACCATGTATAATGAATCAAAATTGCAAAATGACTATGAAAAGGCCTTTTTCATTTGTGAGCAATAATATGTGTTGTAGGTAAATAAATAGAAGAGGATATTTTTTTTTTGAAAGGGAGGAGGGAGAGTTAAAATAAATAAATAAATAAAAAAAAATAAAGATTTGAAATAATTAAAAATAATTTTGCTATTACAGTGAGATTTATTAAATATAGATAATTTAATTACATTATTCAATATTTTATTTAATTTTATGCATACTGTTTACTTTCATATTTGCCATAAATTGAATTATTCTTTTTTCAGAAGATTTTGTTGTCAAATTTGATTTTTTTATAATATTTAAAAAAAAAAAAAAACTTATGTTATTCTGTTGTACTATTTCAGTTCTACAATTTTAAAGAAATTCCAACACAGTGTGGACTTTTTGATTTATATGAAATGTTTAAAAGGTAATTTGGTTTTAGCTTACATATGTATAATTTTCTAATATAGCCTGTAACCTTTTCACATTCAACAGATCCTTGAATGATTTCTCAAATGATATGGAAGCCTCTGATTATAAATTTATTTATATACATTTTGGTGTATTAACATGAAAGTATGCAACTCAGAAATAATTATCGGTACTGTTTTTTTTTTATTAGAGCTTTATGTTTTTCTAGTATTATGTAAATATGTTTATTTTCACCAATATGTTAATCTTTTTGCACAGTTTTGTCTCCATAATAGATAAAAAAAACTGAATAGAATTTAATAACGTAAGATAATATTTGGTGAGTATAAACTGTGGAAAAAGTGTTCATTATGTGCTGTGTTCAAGCAATACTGCTGAACATTAACAAGAACTTAAAAATTCATTATGATAGTTTTTTAGATGTCTTTAATGATGGTATAAAGCAGTGGTGTCAAACTCAAATAGCAGATTGGCCATATGCACGATCTGGAAGCAGCTGAGGGGCCAGATTCCCATTCCTCTAAAAAATGAAAATTTTTATTAATAAGATAAAAAGTATTTTAAATAACTCTTAAATTTTGTGTATTAAATATTTATGAAAATGTGACATAAACAATTGTTGGTGCTAGAGCAGTCGCAAAAGCATGCATTGCTGTACTTAAATAAATGCCAGGACTAATATAAAAATAAAATTAATCTTTATTTCATAACTTTAAACAAAATAAACTAGGCTGTAACAGTAGCCTTTGCATTAAAAACAACAAAAGAAAAAAGAAAATCAGGGATCTCGCTCGTGTTCACGATTTCGGCAAAGATTTAGGCAACTCGCCGACACTATGTCATTGCCAATCAGGATTTACAACCAAATACTTTAAAATAAACATTACTGGGTTTTCTGTTGAGGAACATTTCATAAGCAGTTCAGTTACTCTTATGACACATCCTGTTCCATGTTTGTATGAAACATCCAAGAGCTTTTGCCCAACCATCCTTTTTCCTTTTTACTATCATTAGGCATAGCTTTAACTGCGTCTAATGCCATTTGGTTAAATTGTTTGTTCACACACACCATTATCTTCTGGTGTGTATGCCTTTGTATGTTCAACATTAATTCCATTTTCGGCTAAGTACCTTTCAAATTGTCTGTTACAGAATTCACCACCATTATCGATGCCTATACTAATTAATTTTCTATTTGTCAATTTTTCCATTTTCCTATGATAGTTCTTAAAGTTAATGAAAGATTCATTTTTATTTTTCGTACAATATACTGTTACTAATCTACTTTAGTCATCTACAATAGTGAGGAAATATTTACTCGCACCTTTAGATGGAACTGGGAAGAGTCTGGAAATGTCTAAATAAACCAACTGCAATGTTTTTTTTTGGATCTCTTAGGAACAATTTTAAAAGTTATTCTACTAGATTTAGCAATAATACAAGGTTAGGTTCTCCATTGGTTTTTTCAATTTCTGGGAAACCTTTTACGTTTTGATTTTTGCTAGTATTTTGTGTATAATCAAAATTTACTTGGCAAAATCTTCAATGCCATAGCCTCACATTGTCTATTTTATTTAACTTTACAGTTTCTGTACCATAACCAGCTTCTTTTTCATCTGTTGCATACTTAAGTGGTTTTACATGATAGAGTTTTTCATATTATTTTGCGTAACATAACCTATACCAATTATTAAAAAATATCTATATCTTTCCATTTGAATGTATAAGATGGGCACCTGCCTATTTTGACCTTGCTTCTGATAGTAAATTTTATCTCAGATTTGGATTATACAACACATTTTCTATTCAATTTATTCAGTTGCCGACTTTAAATGCAAATCTGATTATACCGTTTCCCTACTACTTTACTTTCACAATATCCTACAGCTAGAGACATACTTTTATCATCTATTTCCTCAAAGTTTATCATTACATTTTTGTTATTGCAGAAATGAGTTGTAGCTGCCATATCTATGACCCAATTAAATTTATCTGTGCTACCTCATTTATCTGTAGTTGGCATATAACTTCCTACTAACATTAACTCTTTATCTTTAAACTGCCCATTTTTTTCACCCATTTTAAACTTTATTTAACTTTTCTTTACACTGAGCGATTAAGTGTTCACTTTTATGAAATCTATAAGGTCCTATTTTTGTATTCCACACTTTTTACTTAGATTTAGTTTTACTTTCAACTTGACTATTTTCCTGGCATTTGTGCTAATAGTATTAAATATGCTTTCCTTGCTGTGTTCTTTATTTACCTGTACCTGGTGAAGTCGACTTTCTTCCCTTACCAATTCTTCAGCAATTTTTTCCAATGTAAAATCCTTATCCTTCCACCTATAAATCAATTGTGTAATCGCAGAGTATTCCTGGGGTAACCTCCAAATTGTTTAAAATCCTTTTAAAAGATCTGCTAAGTTGTGTCCAATTTCGGCTAGCTTTTTCGCAGTCATTTTTATCCTTGTTATGAATAGCCCGATTTCTTCATTAGATGCATATCTAATGTTGAAAAATTCATCTAGAAGCTGGATTATTTTTTGGCTCTTGTTTTTGGTTCAAATTTCTTCTGTAGAGCCTCTCATGCTTCTTTACCATTTGAACATTCTTGTATCAATGGCCTGAACTCAGTTTTAATTCCATAATATAACATAGTGAAGGCTCTATTTTTTCTCAGCGTGAAATCCTGCTTGTCATGCCTTGTTGCACTTTTACCCAGTTTTTCTTCTTTACCTTCTAAGAAGCTTGAACAATTTCTGTCTAGTAATAGCATCTTGATATCGACTTTCCATTGGTCCCAGTTGTCATGGTTCAATAATTGAAAATGTTCTGGTAGTAATGACATCTTTAGTTACATGTAAGCACAACTGCCTGAACAAGCTTCTAAGCACTTCAGCTTCTTTTCTAAGATAACAGCTCTCTTCGTTTACATTCCTTCAAAGCTAAGATGAACTGGGCTCATAACCTGTTGGTGTTGGAGCAGTCACAAAAGCATACACCACCTTGATTAAATAAATGCCAGGATTAATATTAAAATAAAACAAATCTTTATTTCATAACCTCAAACAATACACTGTTACTAATCTACTATAGTCATCTACAATAGCAAGAAAATATTTACTCCCACCCTTAGATGGAACTGGTAGTGGGCCACAAACGTCTAAATAAACCAACTGCAATGGTTTATCCGATCTCTTCGGAACAGATTTAAAAGTTATTCTACTAGATTTAGCAATAATACACGATTCACCTCTCTATTGGTTTTTTTCAATTTCTGGTAACCCTTTCACCGCTTTGATTCTTACTAGTTTTTCGTAATATAATCAAAATTTACGTGGCTAAATCTCCGATGCCATAGCATTGCATCGTCTACTTTATTTTAACTTTCCAATTTCTGTACCGTAACCAGCTTCCCTTTTACCTGTTGCATATCTAAATGGTTTTACGTGATAAAGTCCGTCATATCGTTTAGCGTAGCATAATCTATCCCAATTATTAAAGTATATCCACATCTTCCCTTTTGAAATCACAAAATGAGCACCAGCCTTTTCTAACCTTGCTCCCGATAATAAATTTCTTCTTAGATTTGGATTATATAACACATTATCTAACTCAATCCAATTTATTCGATTGCCTACTTTTACTGCAAAATTTGACAGTACCCTTTCCTAGTACTTTACTTTCACAATTTCCTACAGCTAAAGACATACGTATATCGTTTATTTCTTCGAAATTTGTCATTAAATTTCTATTATTACAGAAATGAGTTGTAGCTGCAGTATCTACGACCCAATTAAATTTATCTGCGTTACCTCCTTTATCTGTAGTTGTTACATAATTTTCTACTAACATTAATTCTTTATCTTTAAACTGTCCATTTTTATCGTCTATTTTAAACTTCTGATTTTTACTTACATTTTCTTTACATTGAGCAATTAAGTGCCCAAATTTATGACATCTTAAACAAGGTCCTATTCTCATATTCCCCATTTTTTTCTTAGATTTGGTTTTATTTTCAACTTTATCTTTCCCTGCGTTTAAACTAATAGTATTAAACACGCTTACCTTGCTGTCTTCTAAATCGGCAATTTACCTGGCGAAAGTCGGCTTTCTTCCCTTACCAGTTCTTCAGCAATTCTTTCCAGCAGTAAAATCTTCGTCCTTCCACTATATAGATCAACTGTACAATGCCGGAGTATTCTTGGGGTAATCTCCTTATTGCCTGGAAATCCTTTAAAAAGATCTGCCAAGTTGTGACCAGCTTCAGCCAACTTCTTTGCAGTCATTCTTATTCTTTGCGATGAATAATCCTATTTCTTCATTTGGTGTATATCTAATACTAAAAAAATTCATCCAGTAACTGAATTATCCTTGCTCTTGTTTTGGAGTTCGAATTGCTTCTGTAGAACTTCCCATGCTTCTTTACCACTTGAACATTCTTGTATCAGCGGCCTGAACTCAGGTTTTAATTCCGTAATATAATGTAGTGAAGGCTCTGTTCTCTCAGTTAATGTGAACTCCTGCTTTTCACGCCTTGTTGCACTTTTATCTAATTCTTCTTCTTTGTCCTCTATGAAGCTCCAACAATTTCTATCCAGTAACAGCATTTTCATGTCGACTTTCCATCAATCCCAGTTGTCATGGTTTAACAACTCAAAACCTTCAGGTAGTAATGACATCTTCAATTAAGTGTGAGCACAACGACTTGAACAAACTTCTAAGACAGGTCAGCTTCTTTTCATGGATAACGGCCCTCTTCACCTACATTCCTTGAACGCTGAGTTGAACTGGATGACTGATTAGCTGTTGGCGCTGGGGCATAACCCTGTTGGCAGTGGGGATAAAGGTAAAGCATAATTTGCTTCCCTTAAATAAAGCTAAGACTAAACAAAATAAAATTCATGCTTTATTCCGTAAATAAAACAAAAGAGCTAACACTGTAGCCTTTACATTTAAAATCATTTGATTGAAAGCAAACTAGCATAATGCTAACTGATAATCACACAAGAGAACAAGAAACACCAGACATTCGTTAATACCGGCGTACATATATACTCGGCCAACCCGTCGATCTTGACGTCATCGGCCAATCAGCGGCAACCACGTTAGCTTACCGCCGATCGACCTCCGATCAAAATTTGTATGTGGAAAACTAAAGCCAACAGAAACCACAACCAAATCAAAATCACGCCAAATAAAAAAACTCTCGCCAAGCTTGGCGCTCACCCTGATTATGGAATTTTAACTGAGGAAAACAGCAGAACATCAACAACAGCAATAATAATATCATAAAAAATAAATTGAAAGCAATAATAAAAAAATGAAAGGTTTCAGATTTTAAATTACATCCAAAGGTGCATTTTTTTTTTTTTAACATTCTATGTGTTACCTTTATTTATTAAATATCATGTTCTTAAACCATAAAATTCAATTCAAGAGCAATGTCGCAAAATAATTTTAAAATGAGCATATCTTTAGAATTTTGGATACACAGTCTTATGCACTGGAGATAAAAATGTTTTTTCTGTACAACGTTGCCATTGCTGGCTTGTTTGTTAATTAAAAATTCATTAAAGTTTTACAAAATATGAAATCGATAATAAAACAAATTCCAAATTTCAAATTTAGGCTTCCAGATGCCCATATTCATAGGAGGAATATGTTATTCAAAGTTTGATGGCTCTAGGTACTGTTGTTTTATCGCAATGCAAGAAACATTCATACATAGTATGTTTAAACACTTATCATAACTTAGAACTAGATTTTGAATACTATGTTCATAGAAACTTGCTGCCTGCTTCGATAACCAAGAGGTCATGGCCGTTTTCACATCTTCATCATCCTTGTAGTGGTTGCCTCCAAGATGATGCTGATTGTAGCGGGAAAGATAAAAATCACTTGGTGCAAAGTCTGGGCTGGGGGGAGGGAGGGTCCAAAAAATTCCATGCCAAAAGAGTTCAATAAAGCTCAGGTCTTAGCTGCGGTGCAAGGCCTGGCATTGTCATTGAGTATCAAAATTCCCTCTTTCAGTATTCCACATCTTTTGTTTTGAATTGCTCTTCATAGCTTTCACAAGGTTTGGCTATAGGCTACTACATTTATGGTGGTTCCGCATTGCATGAAGTCGACCAACACAACACCATGCCTAATCCAAAACATAGATGTCATGATCTTGCACTGGAGCAGCATCTGTTTGTTTGTCCTTGACCCTTATAAAAGTGTGTGTGTCTCCACTCCATGCCCTGCTGCTTCCATTTGGGCATGGCATGTGAAAACCATATTTCATTTTTCATTACGATCTGACTCAAGATGCCTCACCTTCTTTGTTATAATGAGTAAAAACAGCCAACACTCAAATCTTTTGTTTTTGCGGTCCTCGGTTAGGAGTTAGGCAAACATCTCTTCCTTTGGAGCTAGTATTAATGCTTTCTTATTATGGTCTTGAGTAATATGTGCATGTATTTTTATATCTAGACTAAAATATTTTTAGATGATTGCTGATGAAAATTTAGCTTCTGAAATGAACTTCGCATATATATTAAAGCTCCTTATTTATTATTATTATTTTTTTTAAATTCTGGTTTGGGCTAAGAAATAAATAATAAAATCTTAGATATGTTTGATGATGGCAAAAAATGCGCATAATTCTTGGTATGCCATGTAATTTTATTTGTTTTCTCATTTCTCATGAAAGTACTTTTTATAAAACTGTAGCATGTAGTACCGTTCATGTCATATTGTTTGGTTCTATTTGAACCTTTTTCATTATGCAAGTATTTCTGTGCATTTTGAAATATAATGCTGGAACTTCATTTCATTCATGCCTTTGAGAGGTGTGTGTACAAGTATTTCATTATGTAATATATGAACTGAGATACTTTCTAATGATTGCAATTTTAACCCCTTAACCTACGATTTAGATTCGAAGATGTTGGGCCGAAATTGTACACAAGCTCGCGCAGTATTCGGGGCATTTGCACGACTTGTGTAACACGCTAATCCGGGCAATCGTAAACATGATGAATTATGTAATTTTCGAAGAAAGTATAGACGTGTAATTATTGATGATACATCCGATGGCGATCAACTACCAGAGTTCTGGCTTTGGAAAGAAATAAGAAATAATCCAAAAGTGTGGGACTATACGATGACTCTTGGCATAAGAGAGGAGGTCAATTAGGAGGAAGTAGAGGAGAATTTGATATATTTAATCCAATATTTGATGACATATTTTGGAACAATATTGTAACCGAAATGAATCAGTATGCAGATCAAGTACGAGAAAATCCACATAGAACACGAGTGTAGAAAGTTCCATTACATGTACCAGAATGCTTTGAAATGTATCATACCATTACAGATTACTAATTTTGTATTTTGGAGTTTTGTATAAATAATAATACTTGTGTCTATCACAGTTATTGCATCAGACTGTAATTGCATATCAAATATTCCACGTAATATTCACTTCTGGCCCGATCACCGTACTCGGGCTATGCCCGTGAAAGTTAGGTTTGGCCAGATCATCGTATGTGGGCTATGCTCCTGAAAGTTAGGTTTGGCCCGACCATCGTATGCAGGCTATTCCTGTGAAAGTTAGGTTTGGCTCAACCATCATACGCGGGCTATGCCCATCATTGTAGATTAAGGGGTTCCCCCTTTTTTTTAATCTATTTGAAAAGGGCCACTGGTTAGGCTAAAATACTTTCTGATATATAAACTACTTTGTAATGACTGCAACTGTAAGTTTTTTTTCCATTTTCTTCTTACTTTTTCTTTTCTTTTTCTTTTTTAAACTATTTGAAAAAGTGCCATTAATTTTGTTAGTGATTAAAAATTCTGTCCATTACAAACAAAATTCTAAAACACAACAGCTTTTTAATTCATTTTATTCCCTCTTCTTTTATTATTTGTGGAACTTAAAATTTTCATGTAAAGACATGTATACAAACTCTGTTGAAGTGTCAATAGAGAAAGCAACTTATTTTATGTATTTTGGAGAGGTATAACAAAGATATAGACTGTAAGGTTTCGTTTCTTGTTGAAACAGTAATACTAGAAAAGTCTTGTGATTTGTTACCCATTTGAAACTGTTTTCAGTGTCCTGATCTAGTGGAAAGAAGATGACGAAAATAAAATTTTACAATTGCACAATAGCTTGAGAAAATGGTATCTCAATATTTTCAGAATGTAATATTGAGCTTTTCTAAATACACGAAGAAGCTATTGCATGCAAAGATACAAATTATGAAACTTAGCATGACAAGAATTAAATTGAAAATATTCACATCAGAGATTCTTTATTTGATACTGATTGAAAAAGTATAATTCACATAGAGTGAGCTAAATTATCACCATTGCTAAAGTAATGATGCATATCATTAATACATTCCTCAGAACATAGCCAAATATGAATGAGTCATTTCAGTTTTGGGACAAAAGTATAAATAAAAGTTTTCTGTAATTTTAATCATACCAACAGAAGATTACAGACTACCCCCCTTTTTTTTAACAGAATGCTAGGTAAACATTTAAGATAAATGTGTCAGTATTTTTGTTTTAATATTCAGTCTTTTTATAATACATAAAATTATCATTTGTAGTTATAAATGTGTATTTTAGAGGGAGATGTGTTATTTACAGAGAAGGGTCTAAACTATGATGGTTATGCTAAGTTATTTATCATATTAGGTTATACTCATATGGGGAAATTGAAAAAGAAAAGAAAATTTATAGCAGTACATAAAAAATAATTGTGACTAACTTCCAATATGATTTATTTTAATTAGGATTATCGTTTGTATCTCTTGGCAGATGTGACAGTTTAATTTATAATTCATCAGTCAGTTTTCAAATTTTTCACGAGATCATTCATTTTTCTTATAAAATTAGATCAGATGTAATGAATCCTAAATTTGATCACTTACGAATTTGTATTAATTTCAAGGCTTTGGAATCAGAGAAATATTTACATATATTGAAATGCTGTTTACTTTTATAAATATTACATAATATATTTTACTTATATCAGCAAACTCTTTTAGTAAATTTATTAGGTTCTTTCATAAATGTTTGTTGCTTATGTAATTTTTTGCTGTTTTGTTTTTACGTGCTGTCATGATGTGTTTTGTTTCTAATAAATATGTTTATTGAAATGAACCAAATGTAATATAATTTTTTAATATTATATATGGCCATATTTTAATGTGTGCTTTGTTTTGTAAAATTAGTTATTACTAAGAATAATTTATTTCTTCAAGCCCTTCTGATGTACTCACAACTTTATATTCCCCCACTGTGCGTCACTGCAATGGTGAAAAATATCGTAAGAAAAGTTCTCTTTTTCTTTATAAATATAAAGTCTTAATAAATATGGCTCTTTATAAATATTATAATAGAATATACATGTATTAAAAGAAAGCTTTGTAAGTGCTGCTGAGATTTATTCTAAAATTTGTGCTAGTAAAATTATACTCTGAAATGTATTTTAAAAAATAAGTAATGTGTAAAATTTATAACACTGTATTTTACAGAAGTGCATTGCTTATAAAATAGAACAAAAATTTATAAGCATGAAATTAATGCCATATAAGCATGAAATTTAGGTGTCTTTCATAATTGTAAATTATTTTAGGAAAATATGAATGCAATGAAACTTCATTAGTTTGGGTTTTCTTAATCTGGACTTTGATTAATTTGGACGAATGCTAAAGTAATATTAACAGTTGTGGGAATTAAATATTGATAAACTGCATCCAAATTAACTGAAGGAGTGTTTTAATAATATCATTAAATATGCGGAGTGAAACAAAAGGGAACATTTATGATTATATCATAAGTATTGAAAACATCTCCAGTGATTTAATAATAAAAAGAATTGACTATAGCAGGGGTTCTCAACCAGTGGTATACAAGAGAAAAATAGGTGGTACGCAAAGAAGCAAAGTATTTTTAACTATTAAATTCAAAAATTAAAACTCCAGCATCCTGATTGAGTTTTTTCTCTAACAATCGTACATGTATGCAATCTGAGTTTTATTCAAGAGTGATGGTGGTAGGAGTACTTTGTAATGGTGGTACTGTAGGTTTTCAATTTTTATTTAGATGGTACGCGTTAGTCAAAAGGTTGAGAACCACTGGACTATAGTATAACTGAAATATTCTCAGTTTCTTTATATTAGTTTAGTAGTAATGAACCAAGGTTTCAAAGTAAGTTTGTCTTAAACAATAAGGAAATTTTTTTTTTTTTTTTTTTTTTTTTTTTTTTTAACTAATGATAAGACCTAACTTACTGTTTGTATGACTATACAGTATACATAAATTTTTCAAAACAGTAGACTGCAAGTGGCTAAGTGAGAAGACTGCTAATGCTAGTAGTTTATCCTTTATTCAAATAGTAGGCTGGTACAATGCACATTTTATAGTTTCCACATACGCAATGCAAATTTAAGTCAAAGCTGGTAGTAGTGGGAAATTTTGTGGTTTTTCTCATATTTCATGTAAATACATCAGTTTTCCTTAGTAAATCCCCCAAGGTAGTATCTTCATTCTCAGATAGCTATTACAAATTTAACTATTTAATAAACAATTTCTTTAAATAGCTTTTTCAAAATAATATAATAGTTCAGATTATGAAATTTTGCATTCTATTTTTGAACTTTTTTGGTTTTTAACACTTTTTATAACTTTTTTTTTTAAATATGATTTTTGTTTAATCCTGATTTTTGTTTAAATCCAGATTAATGAGGTTTTACTTATAACACACACACATATAAAGTTGAATAACACATAAAGTTGAAAAAAAATAGTGGTGGGAAGGTTCTATTAGAATTGTATTTTTAGTTTAGTTTATATCTGAAATGATGCTTCATTCTCTTTCTGTATTATATGCTTAAAATTTGTAACAAGTTTTAATGATATCTTAGTATTTTGGTGTATCTGTCTTGATTTCAAAATTATGTACATTGACTCTTAGTTACTATGTCTCATTTGTATGACTTTGTCAGTTGTGTGATGATTTTGTTAGGTTCCAGAATAATGAGCATGGAATAGGGAAATAATGTATAATTTCTCTCTTTTATGCATGATACTTTGAAGTGCACTTTCAAGTATGCATCATAAAACAAGTATAAAGAGAAAACTTCCTTTTGGGAAAAAATGTCGTTGAATTTAGCTTAGATAAAAAAGGAAACATCTTTTATTATATTGAACTATATATACTAGTTTTTTGCACAGTTAAAGAATCAGGTTTTCAACATGCTCTTTCACAATAACCTGACCTTCATCCATCCATTGGCTATCTTATGCACTTAGCTTCCTTGTGAAGTTGAATAAATGCTGTCTTTCTCTCATTACCAAGTGATTTGGAAAGAATGCTTGTGTGTTAACTATATTGGACATGAAATTTTTTCTAGATTTTTTCAGCTTTTTTTAATTTAGTATTTTAAAAATAAGAACAAAAGAAAAGCTTTCTATCATTTAAGATTACAGTCACTCCGATAATGCAAAATGATCCAACACCATCAAAAAATTCTTCAGCCAAAAATTTTCAGTTGCTGAAATTAATCTTGAAAAATAAGGGTTCTGTTAGCAATCTATGCATTGCATTCAAAGAAAACACTCTAGAATTTATAATGGAACAATTTCTAATTTTGAAATCTTCTTTGAGTAATTGCTTCAAAGAAGCATAAGAGTATAATTTATCAATTAGGAAAAAGAGTATGTGAAAGGAAAAGCTCTTATTTTGGCATCAAAGCTCAAAATTAAAAGCTTTCCAGCTTCATAGGAATGGCTTCAAAAACTAAAACAAAGGCATTGACTACAATATCATTACCTTAGAAAAAAAATTATTTAATGGTACAACATAATTTTGATGAAAGTTCTTTTTTTCAGCCTTGATGAAAGATCTTTTCTATTGATGTTTACCAACTAAAACTTTGAATCTGAAGGAATAGATTTAACATGGTGGTAAATGTGACAAAGAGATATTGACTATGTGTTCGCTTACGCATCAAACTATTACGCTACCAGCATTTCAAGGACTCTAAGAGACTAATATATTCTAAAGTATTCATTTATTTAAAACATCACTCAGGTATATACCATACAATTCTCTTCAATAGCCTAACTACTACAGAAACATTTTTCAATCTATGAATTGCCCTGCTGCCACCTCATGAACCAAACTACAACAAATTAGTGGCCAAAGTAAAATATTAAGTTTGTAAAATTATAAGTATAAATTAAAGTAACACAAAATACAAACTACATTGTTTTGAAACCAACATCCCCCACCTTAATTTTTTGGAAACAACTTAACCTATTATAAACCACCGGAAACTTAATGAAAAACATAAAAGAACTGAATTAAAGTCCAAACATTTATAAAGTCTATAAGTCTATTTTTTGGATAGTCCTGATTTCTCATCCACTCCTGGTTTTTATGCAGAATACTTCTGACAATTTCTGTATTACTGGTGGTACTTTTGATATGGAAGATAAGGTAAATCACTTTTATCATATGAGTCATTTTTCAAACAAGAAACAGAGTCATATTTCTACCACATCCATCACTCAAAAGACGAATAGGAAAGGCTTGTGGATAGTTGGTGAAGGCACCAGGAGGCAAAGGTGTTTGATCAGCAAAAGCAAAATACATTTCAACTACATTTGGATGAGGCGACAATTTCTTTTTCCTTACTTTATATTTTGTCAGTTCATCCAAAGAAAACTCACCAATAATTCGCGAAGAATTGCATTTAGATAATTAAAGATAAATCTTTTTATATAAGCAATCAACTGTATCACTTTGTCATAGCTTGAAAAATAATAATTGTACCAACTTGATCCATAATGTCTGCATCCATTTTCCTTTTCATCAGTTTTTCGGCTACAAGTTTTTGAGTAACTTAGAGAACAACTAGAAGAGTGCTCATCAGATTTTGTTTTTCTCTTTTCCTTAGCTAAGATATTCATCAGATTTTGTTGTGACAGGCCAGTTAGATGATGATCAATAACCAGGGGGTCCCTCCCACCATTTGCTTGATCCATTGTAAGTGGAACATCCTCGAGAAGGCAAATCATCTGGATCTTGGATCCCATAGGTGTGAAGCGCATCTGTGACATCATCTATTATTCCCAATTCAGCCATTGTTAAAGACATCAATCATAAGTTCAATATTTTTTTTTTGCAGCGTTTTTGAGACTTCAATTCTTCTTACGCTATACTTTTTAGTTAGGATAGCAATGAGCACTTTCCATGGTAAAGCACCTTCGACCGCCCATCATCCCTTGTTCTTAGGGTCTGAAAGATTTCTCATATGAATCCTTTCCTACGTTTGGTCTTCGACTGTGGATATCCGAGCTGCTAAGGACGAAAGGTCGGAATATTGCATCTTTTCACAAACATTATTAGAACCAAACCGTCTCCCAGCATCCCTGCAAGCACCGAGGTGTACCACATGCCGCCCAGTAAGTTTTCTATGACTACAATACTGGAAGTACTATTTTTCGTCGGCGAAAAGTTGACCAGCCACATCTCACCATTAAAAGATCAATAGGCCCTGATGAATCTTCATGTCATAAATGGTATTCATGGACTGACTCTCTAATCCATGGCCCAGTTAAGCAGAAGGTCAGCATCACAAATAGTATCTTGCTCATAAAATCAAAGTACAAAAATTTCGTCTAAACTCTTAGCTAATTTGAGACATTATACACATGTTCAGGTGTTCGTTTCCTCCAAAACGGCGTGGCTTAAAATCGTTGTCTAGAAGGTATCAGGCCTAAGTAGAAATTAAATCCTCCTTAAATACAAGTTTGCGATCCTGGGTCATATAAAGCTCGAACGCAAAGTTACAATTATTTCCAGTATTTTTCTTTCACGCGTGCAAAAGGATGTGGTGGGTTGCTATATTGAAGATTTACAGAACTTTCTTCCTTGCAGTTCTTTCATTGCTGGTTTAACCTAGCTTCTAAGGTTTTTATTTTAAGCAAGCAACCATGATGCTGTGAGGGGCAATGGCACATGTAATAGAACGCCTGCATTTATTTGCACATGACCCCTTTAAAAACGAAAGCATTCCTTTATCTTTAAGAGTTTTTGCCTCTCGAAAATGGCATTTTTTAGCCTAAAACATTAAAGAATCATGTTTTTCCCGCACAAAACACACTCTTAGCGGGAGAATTAGTACTCAACAAACTTGCTGCCTGATGGTCGATCGTGAACAGTTTTTCATAGATTTAATTCCCCGGTCACTCATTCTCAACCAAAACCAGCCATACTAAACTTTGCGTTCTTTCGGATTTCTACTTCGGATTTCAAAAATTTCATAACTGTCCAGTCTATATGTAGGGTCTGACCATGTCAACATTGCACTTCTGTAGGCTCTTAAAAATCCTCAGACAAGCAAGATGCACTAAGGATAAATAATGCAGCACTTTATCTGTAGTGACGCCAAGGGGGCCGAGCCCGATTGTGAGTTCCAAATTATCATATCCACATAAGTTATTCGACTACTAGAAGTTTTCAGGTCAATTTCAACAACTCGGCACAAACTTCCACTTGCAAGTCAGGTCGGCCAAAATGAGCCTTCAACATTCTATGGCCGGGGGAAATTACAGTTGGAGGAAAACTTTCTATAACCTCCTTTCACGAACCCTAACAGCACTTGTATAAATATTGAAATCACTATCAGAAAAGTACTTGTCAATTTTGTTTCAAAAAAAAAATAACCCCCTTAATTTGCATCAATTTTGGAATTCAAGCTTTGGAAGTTTAAATGTACGTTTACATACGTTCTCATTAACAGATTCATTCAAATTAAATTTGAATACTTACATTTCGTAGATTCTGAAAAATTCTTTCACTTTAGTTTCGATTCTAATGGGTCTGTCACGATAATCCAATAATATCGAATTCTGCTTCAATTCGTTTCCGGACGGTATCTTCCAAACGTTCCCGGATCGTACGTCCAACGTTGAACTTCGAAACAAAAACATAAGCTCCCGACTGTAATTCAGAAGAACTTCGTCTTTTCTTAAAAATTTCTCTAAAACATTGAGGCTTTTGTAAAGCAGCTCTGAATCTCTTTTCAAGTTTATATCTTCTTTAGTTTCCATTTTTATATTTTTAGAATTCCAAACTAACGTCTCTTGTGTCCCACCGCCATTAAATGTTCGCTACGCGTCAAACTATTACGCTAACAGCGTGTCAAGACTCTAAAGAGACTACTATATCTAAGTTCATTTATTTAATAAACATCACTCAGGTATATACATGCAATTCATCTTCAATAGCCTAACTAACTACAGAAACATATTTTTCAAATTCTATGAATTGCCCTGCTGCCACTCATGAAATCAAACTAACAACGATTATTAGTGGCCAAAAATTAAAAGTAATAAGTATTGTAAAATTATAAGTATAAAATTAAAGTAAGGAAAATACAAAATACAAACTACATTGTTTTGAAATCCAACACTATGTTTCTATGATGTAGCATTGATGGAAGCAAGAAACTTTCAGCTCTAGTTATTGATAAATTGTAGAAATCATATTGCTGTAAAGAAATTGCAGTGTTTATACATAAACAGTAAAAAAGGCATGGTGGCAATTTTGTCATTTGCATTCGGTGAAAATGACGGTAGAAAATAAAAGCCCTGATGTTTATGGATCACTGCCCTAGAAATCCATGTGATGTATTATTACTGATTCATTCTTGTGTTGTAGAGACATTAGGCATTTTTGAAAGCAGAAGAGATGAAAAATGATGCAATGCCCTCACTAGGAATCGAACCACGAACCTCTCGTATACATGCCGAGCGTGCTGACCACTACACCACGAAGGCATGCTAAGAAGGCGGGAGAAATACCTTATATACTCCCCCTTTTAAAGGGCAACTGGGGATTAGGGGACCCAATCGCCAAATCATGGTGGTGGAGAATCTTCATCCACCACCCTTTTAGTTTGGGTGCCACTGTAGAGACATTAGGTATTTTTGAAAGCAGAAGAGATGAAACATGAGTAATATCCTTGCCGGGAATCGAACCACGGACCTCTCGAATATGCACTGATCATGCTGACCACTACACCATGAAGGCAGGAGGAATACCTTAAAATGTCATTTTAAATAGAATGATCCAGCATAGGGATCAGCAGAAATAAGTACACAAGTATAAGACAAACATAAAGTTATAATGTATTTTCTCCATCCTTTCTGCATGACTTCATTGTGTAACGGTTAGAACACTCGGCGCGTATTTGAGAGGTCCAGGTTCGAGTCCTGGCGAGGACATTGCATATTTTTCACACCTCCTGCTTCAAAATAATAACCTAATAACTCTACAAAGTTAAAAATAAATAAAAACTCTAGGTTGACATGCCAGAACTACTTTTAAACACAAGTAGAATAAAAATAAAATCACAGGAGCTTTTGTAGATGACCTATTTGCTTCATCAACTGGAGTTAAACCTCAGCTGCAACTGAAATGTTCATCTTCAGCTGACAAAATAGATGAGTTTGAGTGTCTGCAAAATTTCATTTTTATTCTGTTTTGTTTTGGTTCTGCATCTTGACTTACAGTTTTTATTTCATTTTTTAATGCATGTGCTAGTTAATTTTTAAATATCATTTAATGATATAACACAAATATTTAATCAAACAGAATGTTGTTCAAATGAATACAGCCATTCTGAAGCATATCTGAAATTAGTCTCATAGAAGATCATAGTAGAATATAGAAGAAGCAAGTATCACCATATGGCAGATAGAAATCATAACAGATTTTCTTCTCAGCAAACTGTACTGGCTAACTTCACTTGCTTAGGCCACTCCTAAAGTCAGATCTTTATTATGGAGGCACCTAATAGATGGGCCACCATTGCCTTCTGTGAAGGGACAGACAGTTTTGACATCCATGCCTTCTCCGGGATTCGAACCCTTTACCTTCGGTATCACAGTCAGGCTGCCGTAACCACTATACCATCTGGGCGGTGTTTTGTCTTTGTTTAGAAACTTATTAAATATTTTGTGGCAAAGTCAGGATCAATCATTCCTTTTTAAGTTTATAAATGGGTGATATAAAAATTATGCCTGGCATGTTCATTGAAAGCATATTTGTTGAACTTGAATGCAGGGTGGATATACAGAGACACTAAGTGTAGAGCTTAAATGAGAAGGTTTGGTGTGTGCTTCTACAGTTAGGGTGCGTATTTCATAGATACATGTAGGTAAAATGTTATTTTTAAACTTTATTTACTTGCATATGCTTTGTGGAGTTAGTGTTTTTTTTTTTTTTTTTAAGACACTTCGATTAAGCATAATTTTGACTGTACATGTGAATATAATGATTTCAAACATATAAAGACCTGTAAATTTATGATATTCTCGTTTATATGCCTTTCTCCATTGATTCCTTCATAGACATAGATGTGTGAGGTGACTGTATTTTGCATTTAATTTAATGTAGTAATATACTTATTATCTTTCATAGTTAAACATTTAAACAATATTTTGTGACAAAACTATAATCAGCAATCCTTTCTCTCTGAATTTCTAAAAGTTGTTATTAAATTTTGATTATGTATGTAGATGTAATAATTTTGGAATTCTAAGGACCTTCCAATTATATGTTCTATGCCTTTTTCCACTGGTCTGTTTGAAGACATGAATGTGAGAAATGATTGTATATACTTTGTATTTATATATAATTTTAATAATATAATACAATTACAGTATTTCATAGTTTAGAAATATTTTAATATCTTGTGGCAAATTTCAGATCAATAACTTTCTTCTTAAATTTATAAATGAATGAATTATAGCAATCACCCTATGCGTGTTCAATAGAGAACATACTGGTTGAACACATGTGTACAATGTATAGACGGAGACACAATGGGTAGACAATATGTGGCAGCGTGTTGAAACCATATTCAACTGACTAAGCCATACATTCATTCAGAGTTTGTTCTTCTTTATGAAAGGCTGTGTAGCAGCTGTTATTGTCATTCATGGTTGATTCAAAACATACTGATTTCTTTATGTTCTGGATATTGAATTGAATGGTAAATTATCATTTCCTTTTGTATCATTAGATTATTATATGATAAATATGGTTTTAATAATGTTTTCTTTCCTAATGCTCCACATTTGATAGCTGTTAGCATATTTCATATTTGACAAGTTTTGAAATTTCAGTCTAAGTATTAACCAATCAATTATCCCATTGATATAATGCTTTCCTTGGCAAACACAACTAAACCGTATCATCATTTCAGCAGTTTTTAATTAAAAAAAACAGTTAGTAGGTTAAGTGATTGATTAAAACTGTATTTTAAAATAAGAGATCCAAGTTTGCTTAATTAGTTATTTTATATTTTTGTACTTTTAAGTGTTTAAAGAAGTACCTTTATGAATATTTAATGCCGAGTTATGAAATAATGATATAACATGTGAAATCCAGTTCTAGATTTATATTCTGCATTTGAGCTTGAGGTCTTTGCTCACTCCAGAATCACTACTTAATAAACATCTAGCATTATACAGATTTTCAGTATATTTACTTTTGTTAAATTAATTATGCATTAATTATACTGCTGATAAATAAAATTACAACACCATAAAGAAGAAGCCAATTAGCATGAAATTTGCATAATGTATACGCTGACGAGCCAAAACATAATGACCATCTCCACATTTTTCAATGAATTTGTCTGGATGATGTAGAGGGGTTAAGTGGGAATGGTATTTAAATGCTGGTGAGAAGGTAAGGAATCATTCTTGCACTTACTTTTGCGAGTGATAGGAAAGGCTGTTGATCCAAGCAGATATGATAGAGGGCAGATTGTAATGGCCTGAAGACTCAGATCAGGTATCTACAAAACTACATGACTGGTAGGTTGTTCATGACCTGCCATTATTAATGTGTATGCAAAGTGGGTAAATGGCAAGCGAAACAAGAAGTAGATGCCTAGGTTTTGTACGTCAATGGGTCATCAAAGATAAAGGATGTGGGAGACTGTCCCGCTTGCTACAGCAAAATCGGTGTCAGACAGTGGCTCAGCTGACAGCCGAATACAATGCAGGTCCAAGTGTAAGTGTTTCAGAACACACAGTTCAGTAGACACTGTTTGATGTGGTACTGGGCAACAGATGTCCCACCTCATGTGCCTTTCTCGACCAAGTGTCATTGTCAGCTCCGCCTACAGTTGACCCGAGAAAATCGAGATTGGACCTTCGGTAAGGCAGATGCCTGGTAGGATGAATCATGATTTCTCATTCATCTTGTTGATGGTCTTGTCAGTTTATGTAATTTTCCAAGTGAACATTTGCTTCTCCCCCTGTATAGCAGGTCATACTCAGGCTGGTGGTGGCAGTATTATACTTTGGGGGATGGACGTTCTTATGGGTGGCTGGTGTAGAATGGACCATAAAAGCTGCAAACTATCTGAACATAATTGTGGATCAGTTGCACCCCTTACATGACATCTGTCTTCCCAACACGAAACGGAGTGGTTCGAGAAGCATAAAGTTGAATTCCAATTAAAGTTCTGCTCGCCAAATCTTAGCCTGATAGAGCACATTTGGAATGTCATGGAGTGGCAGCTCGAAGTTCTAAACACCGCCATGACGGAATATCTGGACTTTGTGTGACTGTTGCGTAGACATTTGGTACAGCTTGTTTCTAGTCATCTACCAAGAACTTGTGGCATCCATGCCAAGGCAAGTTGTAACTGTTTTGCAGGTCAGAGATTGTGCAACACGTTACTGAGTACGTGGTCATCATGTTTTGGGTCTTCATTGTAGAGCAATTTTTCATGAAAAAGATTGTTAGTAAGAATGGACTAAGTTTGGAAAGGAGAGAGATAATACAATTCACTGAATGTTATTATTAGAATGCTGGCTTCATTGTTCATATATTATTTTTTTAAATATTTTTTGTTTTATAGTGACTGAAGAATTCCCTCATGAATCTGGTTATGATTCATTTGTTACAGGATGGGGTAAGAATTTTATAGATTTTGTATTTTATTGGAATAAAGCTTAGAATTTAGAAAATAAATGATTTATATGTAAAGTATGTTAGATTCTAATCGTATACATTTGGTACAGCGTGTACACAACAACGTATTTTGTTTTTTAATTAAGACACAAATTTGTTACTAGTTAAGGAAATAAATTACAAATTTTTCCTGCATAATTAAAATGGTTATTTTGATATTTATCTATATGAGGTAATCAAGCATAATTTTTGAACAAATTTACTCACAGTTTTTTCCATTATGTTAAATATATTATTCTTCATTTTATCTTGAAAATGACTGTGAAACTTCAAAAGTTACAGTTTTATTTTGTTTTAATCATTTGCCAAGATTGTGTAGATCATATAAAATGCTGTGATGATATTCATTTGAGTTATTTGATGAGAATGATTTAATAGTTTGGGATAGGGAACTAAGGGATCAAAAGTTTTATTCTTGAATCCATATCAGAAATTACAAATTATAGAATAATGATTATTTAAAATTTTATTTAAATTACCGTATACGCTCACATAATGTCTGCACTTTTTTTACTAAAATTACGTCACTAAAATGCAGGTGCGGACATTACACGGGTCGCTCAAACGTCGCGCTTTTTCTCGTGAGAAATTTTTGGTATAAATTTCATTTCAAACAGCCAAGTTAAGTTCTAAGTGGAAGGAAATGGCATAAGTAATAAAAGTATCAAATTTAAAGTTGTCTAATAGCTACCTAAAATTTACAAACTCACTTTCTCCCATCCACATATATAATATAAATTATCCCGTTTACGTAATCAACACTCTGCGCGTATTAGTTTGCACAGAGCACAACATAGAGGCACAAATTAAGCAACACTTGCAACTTTAATATTTACTTTTATACAAATTAAATAAATGTTGTTTTTTTAATATCTTGCACACATTATTTTAAAAAAAAAATCTGCTGTGATGCACTGTATGAAAATCCATTTCATTTCATCATTTGCCGCAACCAGCCGTCACTCGCCTTGAATTGCGATGTAGGAATGCCTTTTTCTCGTGCCACAGCAAGTGCTCTTATTTGGCACATTTCCCGTGTTACTGCATACCCTTGAGCACACATATCATGGACATATGCAACTATTTTTTTTCCTAAGTTTGGAAACTTACATTTCGAACTACGAAACGCACATCTTGATTTGTTCATTGCCGCCAGTTGATCACGCTGTTTGCTCCATTTGCACACACACTTTTCGTCCACCTTATGTACTCTTGCTGCTGCTGTTTTTCCATATTCCTGCGCAAATTCTACAACTTTCAGTTTAAAAGACGCTGTGTAATTGCTGTATTTTTCCATTTCAAGCACGCTACTTGCTAACTACCACGAATTCCAAAATACTAGAATGAAAAAGAAAGCTTGAAATATGTGAATTCTAAGGAGAAGGAAAAGAAAATAATTCAGTACAAAGCATATTTCCTGAAGCCAATGTGTAAAACCTGTTTGGACTGGCCTTCATTTATTATCGTGTCTGCCTGGGGATTGCTGGCGCTGATGTTTACTGAGTATTCAGCTACACCAGAATGCAAGAAATCACTGCTTCCATCTTGGCCCCAACCGAATCAAAGCAAGCCTATTCTTTTTAAACATGTTTACTGACTAATGTTTTGACGAAAAGGAAAAAGGTGATGTTAAAAAATGTATATAATACATTTTAATATTCATTTTAAGATATAAATTCTTAATTTGGGGGTGCGGACATTGTGAAAGTCACTTTTATCTTTACATAAATTTTACCTTAATTTGGATGCAAACATTACAAGCGTATGGTATTAATTTTTAAATCTATTGCATAGATTCAATTTAAATTATGTGTTACCATGTTTCATGAATTGTAATAGGCTATTATGTATGGACTGAGAAACAATTTCTCAATAGATGGAGAACTTTTTGTTGTACTTAAGTTTCAACATTAAGGACTTTTAAATTAATACAGGCTTTGTATGTCTATATCAATTCAAAAAACTAATACAGGGTTGGGCATATAAGGATGCCAAAGATGGTTATTTTTGATTCATTACTTTATATTTTTTTAGACAAGATGTAATAAATCTTAAATCTTGCTTTCCATCTGTTGTGGTCTAATACTTCTTTTTTTTTTAGCTTCTCTGTAACCATGCTTGAATGCTTTTTATTTCTCCTCTTGAACGATTTTCCTTCAATGAATTTCTTCAGCTTTGTCTTCTTTCTTCGACCCATGTCATTCATTTTAACAATACTACGGTTTTGATGAGCATTTTTAATTATGTCTTTCAAGTTTCTTTTGGTATTTTTTTCATTCACTGTAAGTTTGTTTCTGTTTCTATATAAGTTGATATTCAAAATAAATATGGCTAAAACTTTAGAATAACATAGAAACTTTTAGAAAACTAGAATATGGCTAAAAAAAGAGCTATAATTTTTTAAAAATTGTAATTTTTTAAGACCATTTTGTTTCAAGATAATTGGAAATTTTAATTCAAAATGGAAAAAAAAAAAAAAAAAAAAAAAAGAGTAAACTAATTTATCGTCTGGTAAATATTAATCAACTAAATAAGTTTTTGAGTGAGAAATGCCACAAGCTTTTTCAGAATTCGAAAGTCAGGGAGAGATATTTGTATCAAAACTGTATGATTCTTTTTCAATTTATCAGCTATGGCAGATCTAGAATGTGAATGAATTTTCTTCAAATTTAGGTCTCATCTATGTAATTGCGAGTTGATTCATCTACTTTGAAATCACAGCATCAGTTTTTTACTTTGGGTGCAATTATTAGGCACCCCAGATTCCAAGAATTTTCAAATTACTTCTGTAGGAATCTAAAATCATCAAAAATAATAACACATATGTGTCATATGTGTTAGCCCCTAAACGTTAGAGCAGACTTGCAAGCTGTCAGAATTAGAATTCTTTCTGATTTGCAATTTTTGATTTATAATTAATGTGTGCAAATTAAGCTCTGAAGGTTATTCATAATTTATACTTGTTCATTATTAATACACATCATTGTATTTAATGACGCAAGTAAGCTAAATTATTGTTGACTTCTCTGATCAACTCTTTAAAAATTTCTGTTTCTTAAATCGGAAAAAAAAAAAAAAAAAATCAATTGTTTGTTCGTGATAAATAGATTAATGAGACTGAAGGAAAGCAGTAAAACAGTGATTTTTTAAGCTTTATATAATGCTTTAATATAAAAACAGATAAGATAGGAAGTAATCTCCAAATGGCAATTATTACTTTTTAAGTTTCTTGTATAATCTTCATTTTCTGTCATATAATTTAATTTTTACCAAAAAGCTCTTTTTCTTGTTTTTATCGTGAACATCGTTTTTAATTTGTCTTTTATTTCTCCTTTCATTCAAATAAAATGGAATAAAACTATAGATGTCAAATTTCTTATAAAATGCGCTGCCTTAGTTCTAAAGAGTCCAACTTATTTACCGAATCGGAAAAGAAAGTTATCAAAAGCTCATTTATATTTTTCTCACTTGTTTAACAAAAGAAATGTAATCATGTATGTCGAACAACATTTGTGAGTGCCACTGTATATGTCTTTCATTTTAAATGATGCAGACAGTTTGATGTGCAAAATTCAGTTTTTTTCATGCTCATTCCATATCATATCAAAATTAGTTCTCTTCACATGAATGTAAAATGCAATTTGTTAATGGAAAAGTGAGGAATATGTGCAATTATTTGTAATCTTTTATTTAGATAGTGAGGATTGAATGTAAAATCATTAATTATAATTGATGCCATATGGTATATAACTGAGTTATCAATAAAAATCGATACTGGCAATAAATAAGTCTATAATAATGTAATAATATATTTAACATCAAATTTATAATGGGGGAAAAAAAAAAGATACATTTTCTGTTTTCTCTTCGTTTCACTTATCTGCTTTCTTTTTTCTTAAATGCTTCATTTAATGTCGGATCTTACAAACATCACCATGTATTTTGTTCTGCTATAAATTTCGTTTCTATCATTGAAAAGAATTAAAAATTATTATATTCACTATAAAAGCAGGATTCGATTCTGCTATACAAATTTTATATTCTTTATAATTTTATTTTTGTGTAGTGGATATCTAATTCTGATTTATTATTTTTTGTTGTATAGCATGATCTAAATTCTGCTTCTTTTAGAGTGATCTTAATTAAATTAAATTTTGTTCTCTGATGTAAAATATTTTATTAACAAAAACTAACATTTTATACTAATAAAGCTCTGATTCATACTTAGAACTTTTACTAGTCTTAATTTTTGGCAATTATAGCATTCCATTTCGGCAGTAGTGAGCACTGATCAAGCTCAATGATGAACATCAAAACTACAAATCTGTCATATAGGGGGGGAGATTTTAATTAATTCAAGGGGTTGTTTTAACATTTTGTGTGTTACTTATTTCTTAAATATGATTTTTTCGCACTTAACTATAAAATTCATTTCAAGAGCATACGAAATAATTGAAATTGAGCGTATCTTCAGATTTTGATGCATATCTCCCGCCCTGAGATGAAAATGTTTTTTTTTTTTTCTTTTTCTACAATTTTGCCATTGCTGCTTGCATCTTAGTTTTTTATAAAAAATCTTATTTTTACGGCTAAACGATAGAAACACTCCAAATTTCAACTTTGGCTTTCAGATGCCTTTTTTCGCTGTTGAAACTGGGTGGCTCTAGTACCATTATTTTAACACAATGGAGAAACACACATAGATTTATGCTATCTTCATTATTTAATTCTTCAATATGTAATGGTCGATAATATTGGTGGCAACATTTGAAAAGTTATGGATATGCTCATTTAAAAATTTGGGATATTCTGGGAACTGAATTTTATGGTTGAAGTGCAAACGTGCTATAAATAAATGTAACACAGAATTAAAAAGCCCCGTTGGACATAATTTAAATCTGAACGTTCAGTTTTTTTTTTTTTTCTTTCAAATTAACTTTATTGTGAATTATATATGACTTATATTACAATTTATTTGAATCTCCACCATTTAAGACTCGGTTATGTTCTGAGTTAGTTAATGATAACTCCTCCATCCTAATTGTTCGCTTTCCATTATTAGTTTTTAGCCTTACTAAGGAAATGTTTCCAGCATAAATGATTTAAATTAAGCAAATTCTGTTCCCCCATCTCTAAATAAGATTGCGTTGTCTATCTATTTAGACAATTGTAGACTTTATATGATTTTAAGAATGTTTTCATTTACTGTTTGTATTTTGCTACTTTGTTATGTAGATTACTATGTTTATCTAATAATCTATGTACAATAATATGACTTTATTTTCAAGATGTAAGTTTATACTAAGTTTTACATTTATTTAGTTAAAGCCACTTCGCTGTCGTTCCTAATTTCAGCTTACATTTCCTACAGACTGTGTATTCATAATCGCGGTAATGCATAAAGGGAGCAGTACTTAAGTGAAGTCTCTTTGTTAGAAGCCAGATTCCGACTAGCGCGCATTCGCCTTTGGCTACACTCTTTCTAAGCTATTACTATTCTGGGCCGTTTTCAGGACCTTGATATCTTCGCATTTAGTTAGCGTTAAGGTGCCACTCCTTGAATTTGATAGCTTTGCGTATCTTCTTAGTAACATTCTTTAAATTTTAGTTCTTATATTCTTGAGTTCAAAAACCCCAAGGAGGCGTTTATGTATGTTTTTAAGAAAGGGCCTCGTGACTTTAATTTTGAGCAATACAGGATAATTAACCCTTCCAAGTTTAGTGTCTGTCTCTTGAACTAAAGTGATTATTTGCTTACCATTTCTCAAGGTTCCACATACTTAGCTGTAAATTCTTGATAGGAACCTCATAAGCATTTGAAATTACTTTGATAAATAAATCCTTTCCTTCACTGTGCTGAATTTTCTTAGCATAAAAGTATCAGTAAATTAAAAAATGAGCCCAAAACATATATTTAGAATATACAATGAAATATTAATAGTTTTACATCAGAATTGAATTACAATTGTTCATATGAAGGGAATTAAAGTCACTTTTGAGTTCCTTTCAAATAGTGTCATCAGATAACATGAAAATTACCCATTTTCGCACATTTTTTAATATTTCAAGGCTGGCAGCTATGCAACTAAAAACTCATTATTGTTTGCATTAACAGAAGATGATTCTAGTAATTCTTTATCTTCCCTGTGATCAGCAGAGTTATCTGCAGCATCATGCTGTGTTTGAATATCAAAATAATACGTTGTGTGCGGGAGTTTAGCTTTCAAATTGATTTTGTTAGGCAATGGTTTTAGAAAGTATTAAGGGCTGGCTGGGGTATTGTGGAGCCTTATAACCTTATAAGAACAAAACAATCTTTGCTAATATATATATATATATATGTAGGGCCATCCGGAGTTCTGTGGCTTTTTGATCATAAATAAAAATAAAGCAGTTAAAAAAAAACATAAATAAATGCATTGAATTAACAAAAGCACCCTTCTGGTCTGTGACTTTTTCCATCTCCAACAGCTGGAAAATTCCTTTTTCAAAAAAGGCATTATATTTATCCATGAAAAATTTATTGATGCTGTTTTATAGAACTCCAGGATAATCAAAGAACTTTGAAATGACCTGAAGAGATTAAAATCCAAGGGGGCAAGGCCTAATGAATATGGGGGGATGACACAAAAGGTTACAGCCATATTAAATAAGTCTTAACATTAATCAAAATGTGAGGTCAAACATTTTCATAATGGAAGACAATACCTTAACAATTGGGCATTTCTGGGTGCTTTGCTTTATAAAATTATTATTATTTTGCATTAACCAGTTATTTATAATTTTAGCCTTTATAAAATTTATTTAAAAGAAATGTAAATGTATCAGAGAGTATTTAAGCTGTGGTTTTAGAATTGTAAGACAGAGAGTGTTTCTGTCTTTTGAGGCCACATTTCTTTAGTTTTGCCATCTTCTGGTAAAATAGTAATTATTCGGCCTTGCATTATTTGCTGCCGACATTTAAATTGTTTACAGGTTAAAGTTTTGAACCAAGTTCGATTTAAATTTAATTATGTAGTCTTTGACTTCTAGCATGCATTTTAATTTAAATTTGACAGTTATTTTAGTTACTTCACCAAAAGTTGTAGTGGTTTTTTTTTAGCATGAAAAAGGCAATTATGTTCAGTTTGTGTTTAAATAAAAAAGTTATATTAAAATCTTTCCATGTCTAGTTAATTTTGGACTTGGTGATAATTCACTCTATGCCTGTTAAGAGTTTGCATCTGATTCATGCTTCTAAAGAAAGTTAAATTCTATAGCTTCAATTTCTGCTTTTAAACTGCCATTAGGGAACAGTACTTTTCCGAAATTGTTGACAACAAATCATTTATACAGCTCCTGTGTATTCAGACCATACAAAAACACCTTATCGATGCTACTAAAGGAGATTATCTTTTCTTACCCTTGACTTTTTTCTTGAAACTTTATTGCATAATATTCACTTCTCATGTTTAGTAATGCTCGTTTTCAGAAAAGGAGCTTTATTTTACCCCAGTAAATAATCAGATGCCAAAACTCTCGAGCAAGCATATTCTGCAGTATTATACAAATATTGGGTACTCGTACATCATACCAATTTTTTCTTCAAATGATCATGAACTGTACTTTTTGAATATTTATTCTGTCCGATAGTTCCTGTATAACTATCCTGAGCTGTATAACTTTAATTTTCACCAATACTTCTTTTCATAGGGCCTTGTTTACAGAAGATGGTCATCCAGAGCTGCCAACATCTTTGAGGCTGAAATTTTCACTCATAAATTCTCAGTTTCTTATGCTCATAAATTGCACCTTTAAGCTGTGTCATCAAATACAAATCTCTTTTCATATATTGCACAAATTTTAAGCAGTCTTATTAGCATTTTTTTCCTCTTTTAAGAAAGTATAATATGATGAAAATCAGTTTCTTGATTTCCCATCTCTTAGCATTGCATTGAAACAAAAATTATGCTGCAATACATGCCAGAATTACACAGCATAAACAAACAAACAAAAAAAAAAGACTGTATTTAAATATTTGTTTTGATCAAGGTTACACCTTATCAGCAGGAACAAAATAATTAGATGAAAGCATGCTTTGATTTGAAAAACTGCAGAACTTCCCGGGTGACCCAATAATTGTATAATATTTAGATTACAAAACTAAAAGTATAAAACATAAAACTTACATTTTTAAATTAATAACATTATTTTAAGAAAATAATGAAAATTAGATGAATTTTGCATGATTTTTTAAACTTTTGGTTCTGATGTTTTTGAATGAATATTGTATTTATAAATATGAGTTCAATTTTGTTTGATATTTATATTTTTTTGCAGTATTTTTAAAAATCTGTCATCTCTTAGCTATGAAAAAAATACAAAGGTAAGTTGCTTTTTAAAAATATTTTATGTGTTGCATTGTTTTTAATATTTATCATATAATGCTGAATATTTTAACAAATATTTTGTAAAGTAATTTTAATTTAATCTTTCAGTTCAATTTTTATTAAACCACAAACTTTGAAGCAACATCTTAGCGCTGTTGAACCTTTTGTAAATAAACTAAACCTTGGTAGATCAAGAGTGGATTATATTGTAAGCATAAGCTCTTTTTTTATTAATTATATAATTATGTTATTGAAATAAAAATAAGAAAAGCAGAATTAATTTCATTTAAAAGTGACCAATCAGGCTATAAGTTACATTCACATTATAGGTGATAAGATTCTACAACCAGGTAATAAATTATGTCCACATTGTGGGCTATATGATGTCTAATCATTTCTTTCTGTACTTTTCTGAATTTGAATGTTTTTTAAGTGAAAGTTCAAATTTTTGGAAACAAGGTTTTTGAGGTTTGTGAGAAGTTAAATTATATTTCACTTTCATTCCTCTCATAAAGTATTATAAGAAATACTAACTTTTAATATGATATTTAATACTAAACTTTTGAACCCTAATGTAAATGTGAGAGAAAATGCTACAATGCACGAAATTCATTCTAACCTAAATATATTATCATTTCAAAGGCTAGATAGTCATCATCTTGGATAAAAACGTTCACATCGATCATATTGTTGAACTCTTAAACGAAGGTCCATATAATCTGATCTCTAAGATCCTTCACCTTCGGACATCTAAAAATAAAAACTGTGATCAAGTCCTCACAAATCCTTCTGACTCATTTACAAAAATTGCTTATTCCATCTGTTGCGAATTATACCAGGTTATATGCTCTGCTCTAAATTCATAAAAGTGGTATTCCATTCTGCCATATTGTATCAGATTTAGGCACCATCTCATATCCATTAGCTAAATATTTAGTTTCTAGATTTTCAGCTTTGTTAGTTAATATCGCTTACACCATAAAAATTTCAATGAAGCTTGTAAATAAATTTTAAAATATTTCTCCTAGAAATTTCATCATGGTTACTTTTGATGTGAAATCACTATTCACCAATATTATAGTGGAAGGTGCTCTTAAATGTCTAAAGGAATTTCATATCTCATGTATTGATATAGTTGAGTTAATTTTCTTTACTCAGTTTTGTCTGAAACAAACACATTTAGTTTTTCAAAATAAGTATTACAACCAGACTGAAAGATTGGCCATGGGCAGCCCTCTTAGTCCTATTCTTGCATTATTATGCAGATATATAGGCATTATTACGAATCCAAATTATTTGAAATTTTAAACTTGCTCATATGGTTCTGTGGTTCTACTATGTTGACAATGCCTTTTCCCTGTTTGATGGTTTTAAATACTTTCAATAATGAATCCCATTGATTCTGCTATTCAGTTCACTTCTAAACTTGAGACATCATATTCCGTTTTGTTCTTTGACATCTTGGTCTCCTGCAACATATCCAACTGTAGTACTACTCTATGCCACAAACCTTAATCTGTTTGCCTTGCACTACACTTAAAAATCATGTCATTTGACTAAACAGAAGTTAGCTTCATTTTATACCTTTGTTTTCTGAGCGAGCACTTTAAGTTTGCTCCTCCAAGTTAACTCTGATCAAGAGCTAAACTGCTTAAAAACAGTTGACAAAGACTTTTCACCTAACATTATTGACCAATTGGTTTAAAAATTCTCATCTCAACACATCAAAAAGCACTTTCTGATTTCAGGAAATTATAAGAATTCTGTTGTCATTTCTTTTCATCGATTAACTATAAAATTGCATGCCTCTTAGAGAAATACAACTTTTGGATAATTTTTTTCCCTATCAATAATATTCAGAGTTCCATATTTAAAGCCCCCATTCCAAATATGAACTCCTGGGATACATACAGGATTCTTTGCCAGTGTGGTTTAATTTACATTGGTTCAAACTGAGAGAGCCTTAAAATTTGCATTAAGGAAAGTAAGGTGACGTTAGAAAAGAGAAACTCGCGACTCTTCTGTTGCTTAACACTGTTGGTCAGAAAATCACATTTTCCATTTTTCTGCAGCCAAATTTGTCTAATTCCATGGTGGAAGAAGAAAGTTATATATTTAAACCTTTGAAACTAGTTCTGCAAATTTATGAATATTACACTGATTATTTCTGCCCTAGCACTTTCTACAGTCACTATTCAGCAATGTGTTTTAATTCAGATTTTTAATGCTTATTCAAATTTAATTTTACATTAGAAATTTTTTGAGTATATATATATATATTTTTTTGCGTAGTGCTTATTTTGTAAATAAATAAATAAATAAAAATTAGCATAATACTTTGCAGGTTTAAATGTAACTTGACTTTATACAGAAGACCCTGCTATTATTTTGAAGACTTTTTATGAGATAAAACAAGCATTATATATGTGAATTTCATATGTTGAAAGATTCTGTAATAAAGATAGTTACATTATACCATAACATTAAAGCAAATGTATATTCTTTTAACATGAAAATTATGAAATAAATGATAAATTATCTTAATACTCTATGTATTTTCTTAAAGTTTGAGCTTTATGTGTGTGTATAAGAAGTGGATTTGTTTTTTGAGAGACCTTTTAAGCCAATGTTTCCAAAACCTTTCAGCTATGCAACCCACCTGCAAATAATTGTCATTCATCATGATTGATATGCATATTAGGTTTAGGAAAAAAAAAAAAAAAAAAAAAAAAAAAGGGAAAATATATATATATGTCAGTTACTTGTTAATTATAAATTCATTTCTAATTTTAAATAGATAAATGGTGTGCATTTAATTATGGCAAAGCACGCTAGGGCTATCTGCCTGAGGGGAGGGATGCCTTTCGGGGAGGACTTTCTAAGGGAAACTGGCTCGTATACACATTACACATGGGGAAAACCACGAAAACGCCCATGCAGCCAGCCTGTTCGCGGGATTCGAACCTCGGACTGAACTACCAGTGTTCAGCGTTTTTACCGCTCAGCCGCTGGTGGGCTTAAATAGATAAATGTAACTATACAATAAGAAAAGAGTTCCTCAAAATATTTTGTTACTCGCCACAAAGTTTCTCCCATTTTATAGTTTTGAAACAAATGCTTTAAGGTATGATAGTATGTATGAAATCAATATGATAATTTCATTACTTACTCATGACGTTTATTATAGCATTATGAATAAATGCAAAAATATACCATATAATAATAATAATAATAATAGTTTTTTTGTCTTGCAAATGAGAAAGAAATCAGTTCTAAGCTAGTTTTTGAGCAAGTAAACTTTGAGTCAGTTTAATTCTTCCTTTTTGCCAACTTATTTTTTTTATATAGTTGTTAGTGGTTTTGGCTTCCATAATTTGAGTATAATATGAGAGGTTATATACTTATATGATGTCATGTTCTAAAATAAGTTTTCTCGACTTGCATATTTGAAAAAGGCAGCAGTGCGGTTGATTTATGCTCCTGTTAGATACGTGCTTAAGAATGTGTATAAATAACTGTTAACGTTTTAATCTTGGTTTAACATTTTACTTCAGATATTTGTTGATAAATGACATTTACAAATAATTTCTGAGTAGATAATCAATCTGTCCCTCATAATTAACAGTAAATAGAATCTCCTTAAGTTTCTCCCCCTCAGGGGCTCACTTTTTGTGAGTACGGGTGTGTCAATCCCGAGGTAACCTAACTCTTCAAGCGATCCCCATCTTGATGAGACGCGGGTCACGATCCTGGAGTCCTAGTGATCTTTCCTCCTTTCTTTTTCGTCTGTTCTTATCTCTGTTATTTTCATTTCTTCTGCCCTTGTGGTTTTCGGAGGTCGGGGTTCAAAGTGGGATTCTGTTAAATCCCTTTGTTTCTAGTTTCTCACTGAGAGAAAATCACCCACGCGTTTGCCATGCGTTTTGACTCATAAGGCTTAAAAAAGAGGGTCCTGGTAGTCGAGGATCGAGAGACTGTCCCCAACACGCTGCTTTGGCCTCTGCTTCAGATTGAAATGAGAGGCACGTAGTTGTCCCCACTAAAGTTAATCGGCTGGTTACTCGTTCTTAGGGTCAGTGGCCTGGGGATTAAGCTTTTAGGAGTTCCTGCTTTCGGGAGAGCTGATTGTGGGGTTTCAGATTGCGTAAAGACCCGGTTAACCCTGGCGCAGGTATCTGCGTCTCCTTGGGGCGGGCCTGCCGGATCCGAATCTTAATTTTGTCTTCCGTATGGCTCAAACAAATTTAATAACAAATACAAATGAACATAATTATGCATAAAAAAAGTTAAAGCAAGTGCTAATCCAGATATAAATCCAGTAAGTCCACCGCATTTTCTGGTCATAAACGACTTTACAGGCGATCTGAAAAAGCTGTCTCCATTCTTCATTTAAAAGTAAATTCAGTCTTCAATTGGGAAACCGAGGAATATCAAACGGTTGCGCTCTGGAGATCTTAAGGCCCGTCCACACGAGGACGCTCGTGACGTAGTTGACGCAACTTTTGACGGCGGCGTAAATTGGCGTGACGCAGAAGACGTAAAACTGAGTACGCTCCTGTTCAGCTTTTTCGCCTGCGACGCGCGCGTATAGCCAATAGCCGACCGAGTTCTTATCACGTGTCATAATCAGAAGACCTTCTTGCTTACCCGTTTCAATATGGCGTCAGAACCACACAGAGATGAGTTTTTGCTTAGAAATATCATAACTGTATACAGCAATAAAATTATCAGCATTGTTCACGCCATCTTCAGATTTCTCAAACCATATATATTGGTATAAATTTAAAATTCTTATTAAAGGGGAAAACTGTATATTTATAAAACAATGATCTGACCAGTATATCCATATCATATGCTTCACCTATTTATAACACTGTAAGTAATAGGAACCTAAATAAATTACAGTTTCTACGAAATCAAAGTTTCTGCCTTACAAAATTCTCCTTAATTATTATAAATATTGGCTACATCATGTGTAATAAAAGGCTCTATAAATATCCCAATATTAAATACACCAAAGACTAACTTCAGCAATATAACAACTTCTAAAATAAAGCAGTTGACTGTGAAAGAGTATTCAATAAAACACAATTATGAAATTTTGGAGGAAAGTTACAACTTGTGTCATACAGCAATCATTTATTGAAGTTTAATTAAATTACCTTTGCAGCGACTTCTACTTGTTACATTATTTTTCAAAAACGCTGCTATCACGGATAGCTGAGTGGTCAGCGCGGTGCTTTTCAAATAGAAAGATGGTGAGTTCGAACCTCAACCGTACACAGTGTATAATTCAGTTAGCTTTTCTCATTTTGAAACGTGTTTCTTATATTTAATCATGAATCATTATATTCTTATTTTACCTATTATTATTGTTTTCATTTCTTATCTTATTCATTATTATTATTGTTTTTAATTTAGTTTAAAAATGTGCATTGCAAATAGAAATCCTTATGTAATAAATATATCTGCATCTCTTTATCATATATCATCTATAAATTCTCTCTTTTTATTTTTACTTTATTATTGCATATTTTTCATGCACATAATTTCTCATAAACTGTACAAAGTTTGAACCTCATTCTAAATTCAAAAATAAATAAAAAGAAAAACAAAAGACCAAGGCAGGGGAAGTTTAAAAAATATGAAGTTGGTTTTATTATATGGTGGATGGTGTACATAAAGATAATTAAGTAATTTATTTCTCTTTATATACTGTATTCCAAACCAATTTTATAAATCCTAATTTTCATACAATATAGAATCTGCAAGTCTGTCAAACTGGTCGATACTCATCCTGAGGTAATTAAAAAACAAGTAATATATAGATATATAAATAATATATATAAAAAAAGTCAATTCCTACTTAGGTCCACAAAGAAAAATTAAAAAAATACAAATAAATAAATAAAAATACAAACAGAATTGTTTTAATTAAAAATTTTAATATGTGAAAAAGCTGTATTAACATCAAGTGTCTTTCACTACAAGTTTAAAAAATTGTATTTGAACTTGAGTGGATGAATAAAAAGCATTTTATGTACTGAAATTTGAACAAGATATAGGGAGAGTGTGAGCTAATATAGTAGGAATTTAATAATTCTGGATATTCATTTCGCAAACAAGGCAGTAAAAAAAAAAAAAAAAAAAAAAAAAAATCTTAACAGGTTTGAAATAATCTTTCGGACTTCTGCCATTTTTTGCGGTTTTACCTCCGCTAATATTGCACTTAATAGTAAAGACTATATATATATATATATATATATATTGGGGATTTTAAACGATGAACAAATTAATTAACGAAAGACATTTTAATTAGACAAACGATTATTACATAAATTTAACATTTAAGAGAATTAAACAAGTAATGATTCGTCAAAGTTCTTTTTGAACAGAAGCAGCGTCTCTGCTTTCACGTCAATCGTCTATCATCTCAAAACGGTAATTCCCCTAATTTTTGCTTGGCGCCTTCGCAGCTCGTAGAGAGAATGACGTCACGGCATCTGGTTTTCATCACAGCTCCAAGCGATCGGCACTACATTTCGGCCATCCGAGGGTGGACTGGCCCTCCAGGACACTGCAAAATACAAAAAAAAAAAAAAAAAAAAAAAAAAAAACAAAGCAACAAGCAAGAATATACAATAACAGAAATAAGTGTTCGTGAAAAATTTTAAGGTGCCGTCCATTTCTTGAGGAATTCGGCACATGTGGTGGTGCATATGGGACCCTCATGGCATCCTTCCTTTATTACGTCATAGGTGTTGCCACCCTTAACTTTCTTGATCTTATAAGGTCCGAAATACTTCGCTCTTAATTTTAAGTGTGGTCCGAATTGAGTCCTTTTGATTGCCACTAAGTCACCAACTTTGTACGGCTGTGCTTGTCTTCTTTTGGCATTATATGTCTTTTTATTTTCCTGTTGGACTTGGAAAATTTGCCTCTTGGCTTGCTTTCGTAATTCTTCTCTTTGAGACTCGAATTGAGATTGAAACTCACTTTCTATCAGTTCTTTGAGCTGATCGGTGCCCTTACTGTTCATTTTAGTACCGAAGAGTAATTCGAACGGAGTAGTGTTAATGCTTCTTTGATATGTTGAGTTAAGCGTTCTCTGAACTTCGTGTGTGTGTTTATACCATTCGGTTGGTTTTTTTAAGGACAGTTTCGCTAATACTGATATAATGACTTGGTTGATTCGTTCGACTTGTCCATTTGCTCTCGGCAGGCCTGTGGTGATTAGATGATGTTTAATATCTTCTTTAGCACAGTAGTCAGAAAACTCACTGGATGTGAAAGCCGTTCCTCTATCAGAAATGATCTGACAAGGGCTTCCAAAAATGGCCTTCTGATTCTCTAACTTCGCTATCACCTCGGCTGAGGTCGTAGATTTTGTTGGATAAATCCAAGTAAATTTAGTAAAGGCGTCGACCACTACTAATAGGTGCTTGTAGTTTTTATGGGTACTTTCCAGAGGACCCAAGTGATCTATATGATAAGTATGCAACGGAATGTCCTCTTTGAAT